GAAAAAATATTACAAAAGCAATTAATTGCAGTTTAATCATTTTGCCACTTTCCAAAGACCAAGCATTAAAATTAAATTAATGCTTGGTTTGATCATTAAAGTATCTACTAAAAGTACTTTAATTGAATACTTTGCTAAGGAATGTTTTGTTATCTACAACAAACGTTTGTGATTTGTGTTTTCTTAAGATTTAGTTTCCATCAGGTTGATGGAAGTCGTGAACATTTGTGTTGAAAATTGCTTATAAATTGGTTATTATTGGTTTGTAAGACTGTGAACTGCCATAAGAAACAATCTCTAATAGAAGAATGTTATATAATCCATCCATCAAACTAATCCAGCAAATCTATCCATCGAACAAAACATTCAGCACTAATGAAAAAAATAAAAGTCATAAAATCAACTGTCAAAATGTAAAAACTAACACATAAAATCACTCAGATTTTTGTCTTTCTAGTGCGGAGTAAAACGACGATGCAAATGATTGATGCGGTGCCGTCTGCAGACGTTACTGACACGAAGGGCTGAACTGAAACGTCTGGGATTAAACTTAAAGAGAAGTAAAACACCTGGAGGTGACAGTTGATCAACGACGAGAACGATTAAAAGAAATCAAAGTCAGGAAACAACATCATTTTAAGCAGATATCAATCAAACGGAGATAAAAAACCTGTGACAAAAAAACAAAGTAGGTGTGAAATGGCTGCATGAAAGAGTGGCAGAGACACAAAGAGGGGCAGGAAGTAGGGGGGGAGGAAGTCGTCGCATAAGAGGTGAGGCAGGCACAAAGGGATTGTGGGTGGAACATGAGGAGATAAGAGATGAGAAGTCCCAGCAGATCCTAACATATGAGGAGGAGAAATTAGATTTTACAGAGTTTTTTTAAGTCTCTCTTAAGTTAAGAAGGTGTAAAAAAAAAAAAAAAAAAAAAAAAAAAATCCTACTCCAGTGTCAGCACTATGAACAAAGTAGAGGAGTAGGGGAAGACGTTCGGCTGCCCGTTGGCACAAAAAAGGAATTCTAATGTAAAAAAAAAGAAAAAAAAGACTTGAAAATGAAGTTAAAAAAAAAGTTCACAAGGTAACTGAGGCAAGTATTCTTGACCTCCACCAAGTTTTGTTATGGTACACTGCATCATGAAGAGGTTTTTCTCTCCAGCCTTCGTGAAGAGTGGATACACCTGGGGTTTCTTCATTTGGAAGTCTAAACTTCAACAGAGGTTTGAGCACTGTGGGGTGTGCTGTATCCCTGACTGTTGAAACTGTTGAAGACTTGTTATTTTTAAATTACCCGGCAGAGAACACACAGCTTTATGCTTAAAAACTAGTTATTTGAGGTAAATGCAAATGTCAACATGTGAAAACTATGTCTTGTTCAGAGGAGATATATATATATATATATCATATTGTGAATTTCCTAGTCTGTTTAAAGAACCTAGCTTTGTTAGCTGCAGTTAACAGTTTTTAGCTAATGTGCTAACGGGTGGGCTGTGGCTGGAGTAAAGAGTTTTTGCTAAAAACTTAGGACGGAGAAGGTGTATACATCTTTCCTCTGTGACTGCGGAATTCAAAAAAAAAATTTAAGGCTTAGAGATGCATACCCTAACGCAAACTTTTTCTTGCCAAGAACGTCCAATCAGCATTTGCTTCTGAACGAGAACCTTTTTAACAGACAATGTTTCTACCTAACGCAAACTTTTTCTTGCCAAGAATGTCCAAACAGCATTTGCTTCTGAACGGGAACCTTTTTAACAGACAATGTGATTGTTGAGAGAAACATCTACTTTTAAAATGTATTTTCTTCCTTTTATTCATTATTTCATAATTATTAATTTTTTTAAACAAACTAAAATGCACTATGTACATGCTAGCTTGATAACAGGTGTAAACCGCCAGGTCTACACATATTATGACAATGTCATGCTGAAGTTGCAGTTTTCACAGTTGCGTTCAGGTACCATTGGAAACTTTAGAATCCAAGTAGTACATTTTTTTTTCTCATCTTCCCTCCAATTTTCAGAGGCCCCCATAACGCCCCCTGGTGGCCCCTAGTTTCAAAATCCCCAACCCTAAGGTGGTGGTGAAAGTGAGCAGTACCACAGAAAAATGTAGGGGCAGTGTCGAACAGCGTAGCTTATGCATGACCACAAAAGGAACGGCATGAAGAAACTGAAGACAGAACAACAACAAACGACCAAACCAGGATGAAGAACACTTATGCATGACCACAAAAGGAACGGCAAGACAAAAAAAAACAAGAACAAACGACCAAACCAGGATGAAAAACGGTCCGTCCACATGCTGGGCTGTGTTTACCGTCTGCACAGACCACCACGGTCTCCTGCAGCCCACTGTTTGAACCTGTTCAAAAGCCAGACCATTTTACCACCACCTCCACCAAGGCCGTGTTTGTTATATTTCTGAGAAATTAAAATGAGTCTGGGAATGAACTCTGAACTAACAACCATGCCAGACATAAGGCTCACATGGGGGTATGTGGGCAGTTTGTTTGAAACAGACATAAAGGGAGCATTAATTATCTGGAGAATGAGTATAAATATAATTAAAAAAAACAACTTTATATTCCCACTTGACATTCACTTTGACTGAACTGAGCGGCTGAAGTAACGACTGCTGTTACAGTAAGCAGAAAAACACTGTTGCACCGACAAGAGCCTTTCTCTCATTCTCCAAAATGCACTCATTCTGATCATGTAGAAAATGAAGGTGACCTCGCTGTCTTAAAGTTGATGGTGTTTAGAAGCCTCCTGAATTCATTATGATTTTACAGTCTGACACTCCTGACCTCCCGCAAAGGCTCTCAACGAGGGCGCCTCGTCTCGTTTGGATAAAGTTAATTTCCATAAAAGCACAGATTTTTCTTTTGAGGATATTTTTCCACGTTACTATAACTAACCAAGAGCTAGCGGGGCTTCTTCTGTGGGCACAGTTCAGAAATACTGCAGAAATCCATTAAACAAAGTGTTTACCTTTAAGTTCAATCTGAAATGAAATCTAACAAAGCTTCAACAGACTTGAACAGACAACAGCGCGAACATTAGGAGGCGCAGAGAGTCAAGGCGAGTCAAAAGTAACGCCAGATCACTGAGGTGAGGCCTTGGAACTCTGACAGGCTCCGCTGCTTCACTCAGTGGGTGAAAATGTTTCAATCATCAGGCCTGCAGATACAGACGCCCAGGAAAATTAGCTTTCTGAAGAAGGATTCTGTCGGATCTGTTCGACGGTGGGAGTCACAGAGGGGGCCTAAAAGTCCAAGTCAGCAATAAAGATGATTAGGGCGATGGAATCTCTAAGATATGAATCCTACTGACAATTGTCTTCAATAATGTCTGCTTCAAATTGAGCTAATGAGGCTGTAATGCACGTAATGGTTCCCACGTTTTTTGTTTCCAGTTTGAAGACAGGACGATAGTTTGGTTTCTCCACATCAACTCCTTCACAAGTTTCCTTCAAAACGTCACAAAACTGACCTAAAACACAGTCTTTTCTATGACAGAAAAATGTTAAACAAAATACCAGTGCCTGCAGTTTACAAATTGTGGCACAAGTGAAGTAAAAATTAAAATTTATTTGCCATGCTGAGCCCTTAATGGGGCACCCGCCCCCAACTTTGAGAACCACTGCTTGAATTTTATGCATTTTTTTTGGTAAAAAAACACCTCAATGTTGGGCAGATGAACAGATGATGGTGATTATTTTTCATCATTTGCACATTATAAAATTCGACTAACATTAACTCACTTTGACTCACTTTAACTCGTTTGATCACAGAATTAGCCTGTGAACTTTGACCTTTGTTCCGTGAGCCGTGACGTCCCGGTCCTTTGTTTGTCTGTATTTTAAGTATTCAAAATTCAAGTGCGTTTCTGAAATGAAACCTCAAGTGTGTTCAAACTGGTGCCGAGTGCAGGCTTTTAATCCCTGCTCATATTTTAAGTTTCCTTTTTAGAACCTTAACGACGCCACTGAGAAGTATACTGCATGATACAAGTACTCTCCACCAAAGAATCTTTTCTTTTCTTTTTTTTTTCGTCGGCTGCTCTCCAGTCTAATCTTCCTCTTACTCAGACCCTCTCTCTCATTACCGCCCAGACTCGTCTTCCTTAATGCCTCCTCTCCTTCCTCTCATCTTCACGAGGATCAGGAGTTTATCCATGGTGCAATACTTTCACGTCAGCGTCTAGGTAAAATATTTGCAGTCAAATGTGTGGGAACAGTAGTTCGTGAGATGATTAATGTATCATCATATAGAACAGGGCTGTCACTCACACTTTGGATCATGGGCCTGACCAGTACAATCATGACGAAATCAATCAGAAATAACTAACTAAGTCCATGTTTTTTCCCATCTGTAAGTATATTAGATATTTATTTTTTATATATAATAAAATTTTACGTTTAATTTTTTTTTTTTTTTAAATTGTATCAAGGGGACCGCATTGAACAGTCTAGCGGGCCAGATTTGGCCCGCGGGCCATATGTTTGACACAAAAAAAAGGAAAAAAAAGGGAGTATAGGATGTAAAGACAGGACAGATTTTAAAGTGATCTATTATTTAGACAGGGAGCGGTGAACCAGGAAGCTGCCGTTATGTTTGTTTGTAGTAAAATTCAACTGTGTTGCTTCAGTGAAGAACTAAAGTTTTTCCCCCCAGAGCCGGCTGCAGCCAAAGTCACCTTCTGGCAGCTGTCGACTGTCATTTACTAATGCACTCGCAGCGACTTTTGAACTGCAGTTAATGACCAGGGAGCTAACGGTGAGGGATGTAGGCCATGAACGGGGCTACGACAACAGAGTCAGGTGCCGTTATGACGTTCGTCTTCATGAACGGTGTCACCTGTCGGCGACGGAGATAAAGATAAACTGTTTATATATCGAGGATATTCCACTACGTGTGAACGCCCGGTCGGTCGAATGTCCACGTAACTGGACAGGAACAGGTTTTGTTTGGCGCCCCCTGTGTCTTGTTTCGCACATTACCTGAAAATCCCTCTCCTCTAGAATCTCTTTCCTCCATCTCACCAGGAAGGCAGCGCACACATAGAGGTGGAAATGGGAGAAGCCCTCTGGTTCAGCCTGCAAAGAAAATAAGAAAAAGAAAAAAGAACTCGTCAACTTGCTAAGAGCTTTTAGATTCTTAGAGCTTTTATATTATACGGTAAATTTTTTTTATTTGAAAACCAAACATTTTTATAAGAAATACTTCATTGAAGGTAGGAAAAGGCCTCCAAAAACAAAATGTTTGGGACAAAAACATCCGATTAATGACACTGAGGAAAATTGAATTTTATATTCCCATGTAACTGGAGCTGCTGTTAACTCCACCAAAAACAAAATGTTTGGGACAAAAACGTCCGATTAATGACACTGAGGAAAACTGAATGGTTTTATATTCCCGTGTAATTGGAGCTGCTGTTAACTCAGCTGCCACTAAACAGTGGTTCAACTCTCGCTCATGTTGATATTCGATGTTTCACATGGGACATCACATGACACCAGTTCCGCCCAAAAAAACGAACAAGCAGAAAACTGCCCCATGGAGGTCAGGGTTAGGGTCAACTGGCCACTCCTCTTCATCACCGTCACGTCAGTCTCTTTTGACCAAGTCAAATCCATAGTGATTTGTCCACAACATGAATTCAGAGCCACCAGGAAGTGAACACCCCCTCCCCCACCCCCCCTGTGTTGCTGTCCGTTAATTCTTCCCGACATGGACATCGCATTCAATTATTACCCCGTGAGCTTCGGAGAGCGGGTGTCTTTAATAAAACATTGTCTCCTTGACTGACAGGCTTCTGTAAAGTGATTAAACAGTTTGGAGAACGCTAATGCTGCAGAGACCAGCCGCTTAGGGGAGTAAAAAAAAATATTAATGTTCTATTCCAGTAATCAACTCATCCAATACATTAATTATGGAAAAATTGTTGCGGCTAATCGAATGTGAGATTGACAGTTTTGATGTATAATATATTAGAGTGAATTAGAGGTGAGTTTATTGATCCCACCCTGGGGAAATCTCGTTGTTCAAACACACACACACACACACACACATAAAAGGTATGTACTGCACATACAGTAGAGATCCCACAGTTTTATCTAATGATGTTATCCCAGTGCAGCGGAACTTTAAAAAAAAAAAAAAAAACTGTTGCTAATAGATGTGTCACACCTACATCTCTGTATTTGTAATTTTCAGGTTAACTAAATTTATTTTTTCTGCAGCTGGTAGAAAGGAGCGTTGGCGAGTCCAAACCCCAACGGCGGCACTTTCACAACATTCACAACAATTGTATAAACACAATTATGGACTATAATTAAAACTCTCCTGAAAACTGTAATTCTCATCCAAAAAATAAAATAAAATAAAATTACAGATCAGTAATTATTTTTGTGGCACAAATTCAAAACGACAGTAATAAATCTACGCCCACAAAAGGGGCCCAGACCACCACTTTTTTTAAAAAGAAAGAAATAGATAATTGGTTGTTGTACTGGTGTGGGTCATGGGAATCAGGTAATTATCAGTTATTGGTTATTGGTATCCTGTCCTTTCCTGTCCTTCCTCACCTCCTCCTACTGATTTGCAAACTAAAGTTTGTCATCGGAGCCAAGGTGACTTCATCAAACTTGTCTGCACCTTTTTTCCTCCGTCCCCATTGTAATTCTAGGCCCTCCTCCTCCTCCTCCCCCCCCCCCCCCCCCCCGCCTCCCTGGTGTCGGGGCAGCCATATTGGCTGAGACAGACGAGGCTCTGACTGACAAGCATTGCTGATCAAAGAAAGAAGGAAAAAGAGTGAAGAGCAACGGTGGGCGGGGGAGGAAAAAAAAAGGGGGCGATAAAGTGGATGGAATGGAGTCGACACGGGGGGAGGTGAAGAAAGAGAGGGAGAGTGGAGGCACAGTGGAGTGTAGAGGTGAACAGAGAGTAAAAGAAAAGGTGGCGTCGGGAGCCGAGCAATGTCAGGGTTTCTTTAAACTGCTGCGTTTGCTGTCTGACGAGACTCGCTCTTCAAAAACAAAGCCGGTTGAAAGGAGACTAGCGAACTCCAGACGAGATGAAAAGGTGTCGTGCAATAATTAGCCGCTGAAGATTTATACTGATGCAACAATTACAGACAGGAAGGATGAAGAATGTCATAAACCAGGAGTGAGAACTTTACACCTTCATCTGAATGTAATCGTTCTACTTTCTACATTTTTGTGTGTGTGTGTGTGAGAGAAACTGTTTTGAAAACACTGACAAAGGTCATGAAGAGTTTAATGTGATGATCAAAAACACATCTGAACTAGTTTTTGCAATTTTTTAAAACATTATACTTTGACCGTCTTCATTTGTGAAATTAAATTAAATTATCCACTAAGACACTAAAGTATAGTGTCTTAGTGGATCAAAAGGGAAGATCACCAACTTTTTTTTAGCCACCTATACCGCCACCTACTGTACTAGAGTGTGTAGTTTCATAGTATGGCTAGTGACTTTTTGAACTAACACAGCCTACGCCTCGATTACGATAATTTTTTTATGCCAATCGAAACAAATTTTCCCAGAACTGTATCGATTCTCCAACCATTGTTACATCACTACTATCAAGTAATCTTTTTTTCTAAATAAATACTGTTTTTTTGACTACACTTAAAGTGCGACATTGTGCTTAAAATATTGTTACAAGTGCAATGCAACATCAAACACATCACACAGACACAGAAAAGCTTGTCTCTGAATGATGACACTAACTAAAAATGGACAATCACACAATATTTTCACATTGTTGTGATTATCGGAGTAGTTGTGTGTAAAAATGTCTGTTTCCTTCTGAGTTTCATAGTTGATCAGACACTGAGGGTGGTGTCTTATAAGCAAGTTTATGTTGCATTGCACTTGTTAAGATATTTTGAGCATTTTCGAAAAGAAAAGCAAAAATCAAACAACTTGAAGTCGGCTTCAATAAATGTCCAATATGACGCTTTTCAGGAATGTTATTTTTATGTACACGAGGCTCTACGTGACGCTTTTTTTAAAAATTCTGATCTTTTTTCAGGAATGTTATTTTTATGTACACAAGGCTCTACGTGATGTTTTTTTTTTAATTCTTATCTGTATAAATATAATCATCCGTCACATTTAAAGTGAAACATCTGAAAGCTCTATGGATGTCTGGCAACGCTTTAAAACTCGAAATGCAAATGTTATGGATGTTGAGGTGGTAACAATGCATGACGACAGAATTAGAAACATAGCGCCATCAAGCATATTAACTCAACAATAAATGTCATCAGTTCTCGTGTCACGCTGGCAGGAGCTGAAGCAGGGACGATAATAGAAACAAAAGGATCAGGTGAAATAATGATGCTCATATCAGCAGGAGTGAAGAGGAATAAAGTCGGGTGGGTGTGGACTCGTTTTTTTTTTCTTATTACCCTGTGGTCGTGCTTCTTTTGGTATAAAGACTCAATCTTCCAGGAACAGAATTCCTCACGGGAACCAGAACTCTGTCCTTATGGACCGGACCTCATTTCTGAGGACGTGGTTTAAAATTAGAAGTTCTGAAGTGTAACATGAAGTATAACATGCATAAATAGGGATAACAAGTGATAGTCCAGACTCGGGGGAGGCGGGGTGATAATGTTTTGGAAATGGCCATATGTGTATACGTACAGTATGATTATACCGATCATCAAGACATTGATGTCAAGTCGTTGATGTACAGATCTGGCATTAGGAATCATCAAAGGAGAAAAACAAGTCACATATTTCCAAGCACAGCTTGCTTTCCGAAAGCAACTGTTGAGTTAGTCCATCCATCCATCCATCCATTTTCATCCGCTTATCTGTTACCAGGTCGCGGGGGCAGCAGTCTCCACCCAAATCACACTGCACCGTACCAACCCCCCCAAACCTTCCTGCAGGTGGTGAGTCCACTGGAAGGTACCAACCGCCCTAACCGGGATTCAAACTTGCCCAGGAGGTGAATCCTGGGGTTCCACACCAATGACAGAGACATTGCCTCTGGGCCAAAGCGCCAATCTTTTGAGTTAGTTAGTTCATTAGTGCCTCTGGGCCAAAGCGCCACTCTTTTGAGTTAGTTAGTTCATTAAAAAAAAAAAAAAAAACTCTACTATATTGATCCCATATTTGAGAAATTGTTGTGGTAGCAGCAGATACGCTGCTAACAGGCTGCCTCTAGCAAGCACCAAGCATGTGGTTCCTCTGGGAATCAAACCAAGGACTATCTTCTCTCTGCTTCCGAGGCAGGCGTGCTAACCGCTACACTACGGAATTGACTAGTTAGCCGATTAGTTCACATCTTACAACTTTGCAGCATTGGTAATTAATTTATGTAACTTCAAGGCATGACGTGCACTGTGTGTCCACAAGTGTTAATTTCACTGTTAGTCTCCTCGTCATTGCTCTAATGCACATTGTTATTTATACATGTTGTGGGGAAACATTTTAGTTTCATTAATGTACCCCCCCCCCCAAGCCTAAATTTACTATCTGAACTGCAGGAGAGATGCCCGGTCTGAAGACCTTTCACCTGATTTTTGACCTATTTGATCACAGCCAAAAATGACAGGAAACACAGTTTGGAATTTGACCCTGCATCTGAAAAAAGCCGACCATCCTAAGACACTGCAAATTGTCATAGCTTCCCCTTTAACAGTCATGCTAATGCTGCCACACTGAGCAACTTGCTAATTTCATGCTCCACACTACAGAGATAATTTGGTCCCTGTCTGTCCGCCCGTCTGCCGATCTGCAGGAGAGAAGAGGTGTGGATGTGGGTTTCCACGTCAATCGTTTCTGGGTTTGTTTGCTGTTTGTTTGTTTTTCCATTCCTGTCTATTTTGGTGAGATGTTGACAATAAGAGGGGGAAAAATAATAAACACAAAACAGTCATACAAATTCTGAACACAACGACAATACCAGGACAATAAAACGACAAGAGACTGCATGGAAAAAAAAAAAGAGAAAAAAAATCTGCCTGGTGCAGAATCAGGCAACTGAACAGATGGTCACACCGTAGAGAGTAGACCACAGTGGAGACATTACAACACTCAGGTTAAATCTCCCCTTACAGAAAACACACACACACACACACACACACACACACACACACACACACACAGAGAAGAGAGACAAGGACTTCCTGTGTATTATTAGCTTTAGTGAGCCACCCGTGCTGTTGCTTTGTAATAAGGACATTAGTCTGAGGGTAAAAACCAGTTTGTGAGGGGAAAAAAAAACAGACAGTAAATAATTTTTCACATTTGTTCCCGTCTCTCACAGAACGTTGGCCCAGAAACGAACGGGAAAAACAAAATGACGCGCAACGGAAAATACACGTCAGAAGCCCATTTAGTCTGATTTGTGAAGCCTTGAGTGAAAAACAAGCTGCGTGCTACAAGAGTGATGTCCATTGAGGGAAATGTTACAAAAAAAAAAAACATGATTTAGCAGGATTTGAGAGGCAGACAGAAATCCTTTCATGTAAAACACACTGGCATTAATCATATAAAAGGAAACATAAAAGAGCACAGCACTGAAGAATGAAGAAAGGATTTTATGTGGGTAAAGTGAGCGGGAGGAACATGTAGTAAAAGCTACATACGGTAGCTAGAAAAAAGGAAGACAGAAAAGAAGAACAGAAGAGACCAGTAAAATAGATGTTCCAGTGAATACGTAGAAATGGTTTGATTCCCAATCAGCGAAAAGTAGTGAAGGAGTTTGTCACCTTTTCAGGACTTCAGGATGGAATATAAGAGTGGCCTGCCATATATCTACATACATATACTGTATATTAACACATACAGACACACATATATAGATATATACACACACATACATATATAGATACTGTATATTAACAAGTAATATACTGTCTATTAACATATATACTTTACCTATAAACACATATATATGTATCTACATATACCGTTGATATGTATGCGTACATACATATATCCACATATAGATATGTATGCACACATACCTATATACATACAGTATATGTACATATAGATATGTACAGACACATACATACATACATATATGTACTTATAGATATGTACGCACACATACCTATATGCATATATGTACATATATATGTATGGACACATACATATATACATATATCTACATATAGATATGTACGGACACATACCTATATGCATATATGTACATATATATGTATGGACACATACATATATACATATATCTACATATATATGTACGGACACATAGATATATACATATATATGTAAGGACACCAACCGATATACATACAGTATATGTACATATCGATATGTACAGACATATACATATATAGATGTATGTACATATAGATATGTACGGACACATACATATATACATACATATATGTACATATATCTGTACAGACATACATATATACATACAGTATATGGATATATAGATATGTATGGATACATATACAGTAAATATATATATTAACATATTCATATATATAGACATATATATATACATTTTAATTTCATAAATCTGTGTTTTTAGTCTGCTGCTGTTTCCTTTACCATTTCTTGCAAGTCATCTGTTACTTTAAAGTTTTTTTCTTGTGATGACATCATGTTAAATAGAAAGTAGTGATTAAGATTTTGAGCCAGAATCTCAAATAAGTGTTTTTTTTTTTTTTCTTCTACGTTAAGGAAAGTCCTATCCTCACTTGGTCACCTCCTGTCTTTTCTCTCCGTCTATTCTTTACAACGGATTCAACGGGAAGAACTTAAATAACAAGAAACCTCTGTCAGTAAATGTGTCAGACAACCTGCCAGCCTGTTCTCAGGATGGACGTGTACAGCACTGAAAACATAAAAACACCTGAAAAAAAAAAAAAAAACATTTTTGCCAAGCTCTCTCTGCGTCTCTCCTGCCAGCTGGCTGGAATTCAGAAAGCCAGCTACAAGATGGAGGAAAAAAAAAAAAAAAACCAACAACGGGGAGACGAGAGATTGTGGCAAACATTTCCACGTTGATCCATTTATAGAATACATTTCAACAGCTAATTGTAAATAAATGATGAGAGGGTTTCGTTAAAAGTAAAAAAACAAAAAACAAAAACAGTGATGCTGCTAAAAATTTAAGAGGTTTTCTTGAACTTTTCTTCTCAGAAGCCAATAATTCATGCGGAAGGAAAGACTCAACTCGTACTCCTGTCTTTTTTCCAGCTTGAAAACCACAGCGTTTTAACAGCGGTTTCACGTGTTTGTTCACACACAGACTGGTGACATTTGTACGTTGCATCATCAACTACATGTAGAAGAAGAATCAGCTTTAGAGACGCCTGTCTATCAGACTGTCATGTCAACTGTAGCAATAATAATAATGATATAATATATATTTATAATAACATAATTTAATTATTATTATTATTAATTTTACATTTAAAATATGTTTGTATAACTTTATATATTTATATAAATTATTAACATTTTCATGTCTATACCAGTTATAGTTATATTATAATGTGATACCATCATAATATTAACATAATGTAATAATTGCATTATTCTACCATAATTTATATATTTATATAAATTATTAACATTAATTTCATGTCTATACTAGTTATAGTTATATCATGTGATACCATTATAATATTAACATAATGAAATAATTGCATTATTCTACCATAAAATATGTGTATTATACTAATATATTAATGCTACATTATGGTGTTAAATTGCACTGTTGCACATGTTAAATGATATTATTGCTGCTCTTATTATGTTGATTAATTATTTTATATAATTATTATTCACATACTATTGCATTATATTTTATTAAATTGTATTATATTAGAACCCACTATATTACAACATTTAATAATAATATATTATATTGCTCTCTTGCACATATATAAATATGTTGGTACTATATTCCTGTGTCCTGGAACATACCTATATAAACATATGTTTACCATTGTGTACCAATATATACATACACATACAGTATATATTAGTATATAGATATATATACACATTTGTAAACGTGTAACAAGTGGCCTCAAACGCATCATTGTTTATGTTCAATGTCGTCAAATTCAAGACAGATGTTTCCAGGTCAAAAAGTCAGTTTTTTGCACGCATTCACACTATAAACATAATAAAAAACCAAACAATAAAAACAGCTGCAGTCTGTTACTGAGACCTGGCCCAGGTGAAAGGGCCAATCACTGAGAAGTTCCCTTAAAGCCCCGCCTCAACACTTTTTTTTTCTTCTGTCTGATCTAATCACACACTGGGATGTGACGGCTCGTCTCATCTTCTCAACCTCTGCCTTAAACTGCGTATCCTCTACATGTACTCATCTCATGCTCGCCGCCTCCCACACGTGTCCCAGCACACACCTGAGTGAATCAATAGCAGACAGTCAGAACTCCTGACAAGGCCAACAGGGGTTAGCAATCAGGGAAGAATCGTCGGTTCTGCCCGTTATAAGGAAACGTGAAGGGGAGGCGAGAGAAACTGAGGACGGACTCAGGTGAATTTGAATGTGTTTAAGATTCTGCTTTTGGTGTCGACACTTGGTGCACATGGCAACCGGCTTTATTCTCTCTCTGTGTGTCTGTGTGTTTCTGATTCTCTCACATGTACAAGTACGTACACACACACACACAAACACGCACAAACGCTGCAAAATGAAAATCACATTTGTCTCCTGCATGGAAGAATCTCATCTTAACTAATCCTTCGAAATCCCCAGTGAAGCAATTTGCAACGTTTTGTCAAACATTTTTTTCATAGTTTTTTTTTCCTTGCAACGTTTTGTCAAACATTTTTTTCGTATTATTTTTTTTTCCTTTTATATTAATAATACGGTTACTGTTAAAATCCGGTAAAAACAACCACCTCCTCGTCGCCATACGTGTTCCGCTCCCACTCAGGACGTCAAGCTCGTGACTTGAATGTACTGTAAAGCTGCTGCTGTTTCGCAGAGCGAGTTTCTGACATTGAAAGCTGCCACGTTTGAATAGATGCACAACGTACGATACAGCTCCACCTGCAGCCATAAAACAGCTGCACAGAACGCTCTTATTATGTTGCGTTATGAGATCGGTTGGATGGAATATAATGGTCAAAACTCAGATAATCATAGACGTCATTGTCAGGAAAATATCTTTTTATAGTTTTCCCAGAGAGTTGAAAATGAAAACCATCAAACATTGTCTGAGCGTCTGCGTGTGTGTTTATCTGTGTGTGTGTGTCTGTGTGTGTGTGTCAGTACCTGGTAGGTGTCCCACAGTCTGATCGTGCATCGGAGTGGCAGCTCCCTCATCAGGAGGTTGTTCATCCAGCGGAAGGCAAACTGCAGGTACTCCACCTCGTAGTGCTGCATGTGGCGGTGCACGGACTCTGTAATTTAAAAAAATAAAAAACAAAATTTAAAAAAAGGGATCATTTTATATTAAAAAACAAACACAACTCAATATTAAAGAATACCAATAACAAATGCATTAAAAACAATGAGGAAGCTCCTGCTCTTTCCACCATCAGGAGTGGTTCCCAAAGTGAGGAGCGGGACCCATAGGTGGCACATAGCAAGGTGAATTTTAATTTCAATATTGTCAATATTTTTTTATTACAGCAGGAAATTGTGTATTTTTGTTTGTTATTTAGTCCCTGTTCAAAGTGTTTTTAACCCTGTGAAAAAGCCCAGGAAATAAAAAGAATTTGGACCTTGGAATGTTTACAAAAACATTATGTTTTGTTTTGTTTATGAGATATTGTTTGTATATCATATTTTTGAATGAAATTTTTGCCCAACTTTTTTGAAAACAGAACACAGTTTTTCTCTCTTGGATCTTGTGAAGCAAATATGATACGTTTGAGTAAAGAAAAAACTCAATTGAAAAGTTCTAACAAGTTATACCACAAAAGTAATAAGAAAAAAAACCAAAAGAATTTTGGATCTTTTTTTAAAAAAAACAGTGTAGAAAGCTCCCATAAACATTAATAACGAAGTGCATTCATCAAACGTTCTGCTGATCATCAAGGAACAGACGACATACACAAGTAAACAACGTCGACGGCAGAGAAAAGCACCTTCCGTGTGTGAGATGTAACGAGTTTGTGTGTTTTTAATTATGTCGTTGATATCTCATCAGTTCTTTCAGTATCACTCGATTAAAACTGCATTTATAGTTCATATCTGGGCCGCTGTGACCATTCATCTTTTTCCTGTGACAAACACAGGCTGAGTTTTGGGTAAAACACCACAACAACAACCAGTGCGTCGTTTAACTCCTGATCCCAATCTCAGCTCCAATCAAAGAAACAATTTCCTTTTTATATTTGAAACTTGGCGTTCGCCCAGTATAAAAACATTCACTCGTGTATTTCACCACAGTCTTTTCAACGGTATTTGTTTTAACTGCATCAGGTTAGTCTGCACCTCGAAAATCTAGTAGGTTCATTTTCTTTTTCTTTTCTTTCTTTCTTCTCTAGTGATTCCAAATGTTCCAGTGTTAGTAACTGATGTTCAGATGGAACAGCAGCAGAGTCTCAGACTAGGATCACACTTGGACTTACAATCTCAAGTTACATTGGTGAACAATCTCAAAATATGGTTGTAGTATTGCAGTATAACACAAAATATATCGTATCATTGCCCCTGTATTATTATACATATCGTCATATTCTTGCCAATATAAAAAAACATATTTCTTAATCTAATGTTATGACAAGGTCAAGTCAGATGTTTTTTTTTTTTTGGAGTCGAATTCATATTTTTGTGTTATAGTCACTATCTGTGATTGCCGGTTGCTCAGAAATTGCTTGAAAGAAAAAAAAAGAAAAAGGAGAAAAAAAAAAGTCTCTCCTCAAAGAGTTTGTTTTTCCTGAAAATATGCAACCACTGGGCATTTTACAGAAAATTCTTGAAGGAAAAAAAAAATTGTGATCAGTTTCTGTGGCAACATGTGGAATATGAAAAGTGTTCCCCTTCAAAGCAGGTGTCGCATTTTAGAAATAAAAACAGTTTGACGTCTTCAGAGTTTGAAGACATCAAGAAAAGTGGGAATTTCGTCAGCCGCTGTGAAGACGCTACATCTCACTCAGGTTTTGTTCCTGTTCCTCAACTCGCAGACATAAACAAGTCATTATTCCAAATCTTCTTCCTCCTTTCTATAATTGGTCCAGTTTCTGTCTCAGCAAAAAGGGAGGGACCTGGATTTTAAAGTCCTGTTTGCGACCACCGTGTGTTCAAACATTACCTGTCGCCTGAAGCTGATCTGAATATCCAAATCAAACGACAACATCTGTATTTAGGAGCTCAAATTGACGTTATCATTGCACCACAGCGTAGCCAACTAATGAGAGCAAAAACTGAGCCAAACAGCACCGTCTGGCATCCACACGGTTAACGCATGCTCCCGAGTCAAAAGTCCGTGTCGGTGTCGGCAGTCTGGCATTAAGAGCTGCCGAGATGTCAGATGAAAAGTTACTTGAGATTTTGACAGCGACGCTAAGAACGCCTGCCGTCTCCTCCGTCTCTGCTCTTTTGATAAATGTTTGTTTTTAATGCTTCTCTACATAACAAAAGATTAAAAATATCACTCAGTATTCATGGACTCCCATTTCACAGCCATCAAACCCGGGGCGCACATTCTTCCCTCTGTCTGCCTCACACACATTTCAAAATAGACTTTTTAATTATGGAGCTGTCACTGATTCTTTGAAAAAAAAAAAAAAAAGAGGCAAAGGCAGTTATGGAGGAACTATTGCATCCTCCCCTCACACACACACACACACACACACACACGGAGACACACTGAGGCCGACACCCCCACACACACACTGAGCACAGCTTCAATAAAGATATAATTGCTGTTGTATTTTCAAAGTTATTTCCGGCTAAGAACATATTCATCATTAGCCTCAGACACACACTTGAAACATTTGAACGACGCCCGTCTTGAAAGCAGGATTCCAATAATTAGGCCCCCACTCCAGCACATGAACGGGGCGCGAACTAAACACAAAGCTTTTACTTCACACTTCTCTCTGCAGCTTAATTATCACATGCTGCTGCCGAGGCATAAACAAAGTTATTAACCGCGTACGCAACGATGGCAACGGTGGCAACGGAGTTCTGCCGCACACTGAGGTGGTTGATGCCTTTAGACGGTGTCACTGCTGCACAAATATTAGCGGTAATCCACAAATAATCATGACATATAAACATGATTAATTGAGATGATTCAACATACCTGAATGTCAAAAAAACTTTTCCCCATCTGTTTTTATATTAATAACTGATCCAAATGTCATGTTGTCAATTGGCGACATCATTAGCTCCTCACCACAGAAAACGGTGGTCAACGAGGTCTGTGAACTCTGGGTTTGTTATCAGGTATTTTTTGCCTTTTAATGGTCTCTAGCAAACTCGTTTCCCTTCTCAAATTGCTGGTAAATAGAACCACTACCACAACTCGTTTCCCTTCTCAAATTGCTGGTGAATGGAACCACTTTTTTTTTTTATAGCCTCAACACTAGCTGCCGCTGCTGTGGCTGCTTCATGCTAACTTCACAAAACTGCATTGTAAAAAGATTGAAGTTTTAATATCTAGTTACATTTGTATTGTTGAAAGGAGTTCAATTTTTTTCCGCTAACTAAATTTTGGCTGAGAAAAATATACAAATAGCAGGGTTCACACAGTGACTCCAGACTGATAAAGACAGACTGTGTTAGCTTCAATTAGCTGTTTGAAGCTCATATGCTAATGACTCTCCTATGGTAGAGAAGTACTGGAGGCCATCTAGTTATTGCATGGACTTCCCGGTGTAGAGATCCTGCTGCATTTATATTGACTTACAATATAAGAAAATTGCTAAAGGGAGAGAAGAAAGGTCACATAATGGAAGTCATGATGATCAGGAGGAACAAGAAGAAGAAGAAAAAAGAGAAAGAACAGAAAAAGACAGAAATAGTAATATATTTCTAAAACCATGAGCTAGCATTTAGCTGGTCCAAATCCCAGCATGCTAACTGGGGTAGTTATGGTGACTGTGGAGGCGGAGGATGATTCTTCCCATACAGACTGATTGACTGATTAGTCTTGTCTCCCTCCCTGCTGCTGGTTAAAGTTGACGATGGCGGCCGCAGCACCAGGCCGCAGGGCGCTCTCCAACAGTTGATTGTAGCCCTTGGCTTGTGCGGTGCGGGCAGACAGCGGGAGGTCAGAGGTTGTACAGTGACTAGTGAGCCGCTCGCAGGATTCTGCTGATAAGGTCAATTCTACTTCATGACTTCATGGTCTCCTTGGTGAGAAATGTAATTACACAGTCACACGGTGTTCTCACACTCCCAGTACAGACTTTCATCTCGCTCCTCTTTAACACGTTGCTTTAAATATGTTTCTGACATATATTTTTCCATGAAGGAAAATGACATCAGGCAGGAATCAAAAACTAGTATTTGTCCAAGACCATAGAGCTCATAATTACACCATGATCACTTCACACTAGCGACTAGCGGAACCACCAACAGAAACCAGTCTAACCTCTTTAGAATAACATTAGGTGTTGATATGAAATTATAAAAAAAATAGAGCAAGGGTTTATGGGAAAAATCTGCTGCCTTGAAGGTCTGCTAAGAGGCGATAAAAGTCGGCAAAACTGCTAGAAAAATAAAGGTCACACGGATATTTCTTGGTGAAAAAAAAAAATCAATGGACACGGATATTTCTTGGTGAAAAAAAAACAATGGAAAAAGAGCCAGTAGGTGTCAGTAATGAGGCTCAAAGGGGGGGAAAGCTGCCAGTTGCCTTCTGTCACAGCGTAATAGGATTGTATAGATCGGCAGAACACTGAGAACTTTGAGCTAACGCACAGCAGGCAGCGCAGCTTAGCTAGCAGTCAGAATCCGGATCCGTGCCGCGCCGATATTATTTATTTGTATTCAAACAACAACTGCACATCCACTCATAAGTCATGGTCTCACCACCGCATTAGTACCAACTGATCAACAGCATGTTTGTGAGGAATAAACAGTCATTGTTGACCGGAGGCAGTGAAGCTCCAGAACCGTAAGAACCAAAAACAAAAACAAACCAAAAAAGTCCAGGATTCTTGAGAACTTCTTAACCAAAGACAAAGAACTCTGCAGCTTGTTACTGTGTAACCTGATCTAACCCAGCTGTTTTATTATGCACAACCCAGGGTCAGAAAGCACATTGTCAGTGCACCCTCTAATTTACATAAATAAATTCACCTTAGGGCAATTTGCATGTTGATGAACTTGTGCTAATGCACTGGCTTGCGACAAATACAGAGGAAGAGAGAGGAAGAGAGGAAGAGAGAGAGAGAGATAAGAGAGGGGATAAAGAGATCAGAGTCACATTAAAAAGCATGCCGACAAAGTGCCGTGTCATTTGAGGAGGAACATGTGCTAGCATCTAACAGTGCTAATGGGAGTTAGCGTCACTTATTACACGCAGGATTAATTGCAGAGAGCAGTAGGCGGGGGGGAGGGGGGGTGGCTGTGTAAAAAAAGGAATAAGAGGAGGAAAAGTAAAAGTTTCAACGATGAGGAGTTATATTTTTTTTTTTGCCTTCAGTGCAGCCAATTGTTCCAGTTAAATGAGTTACACCGTGATCACCGCAGCCCTGGACACTACATTTACGGTGGTTGAAGGAAGTGAGATTCTAAATGTCTCCAGTGACCAGCGTTGGTCCAACTCTGCCATGTCCCAAAACTGTCCAGTGGTGCCAAGAGTGGCACCGGCCCAGGTTTTGTTGTCAGAATTTTTTTTTTTTCTTTTAAACTCACCTGAAGATTAGATCAGGGAAATAAAAAAGCCTGGCTAAAATATGTAAAAATATGTTTTGAGGCCATTTTTAGGGCACGTCAGGTGCGAGGCATCTTTTTTTTTTTTTTTGCAAATTTAAAGTGACTTCTGGGGAAACTTAAAGACATTTTTCTTAAACAGTTTCTAATAAAATCGTTAGATCATTTGTTTGGCCCCTTATGTATCTGTTGTATTTGTCTATCAGGAGTGAACAACTCGTTCAAAACTCATTATTAGCCTTAGCCTTAGCGATTCTTTTGGTTCGTTTTAATGTGGTTTTGTGGCAGCAGTCCTAAAGAAATAAATGCGTCGTTCTTTGAGCGACAGGCAGCGGTGAGCAGGATGATCAAATGTCCTGCGTTAAAGGCTGACGGCGGCCTTTTGTTGACAGGTTAGAAGTGTTGTGGTGCAGCTTTCATGGTTCTGCTGAAGTATCACTTCACCCAATTGGATCTGCTGAAAGGTGTGAAAAATAATCAAAGCGGGAATCCATTATGTGGATTTTTAAACACTGGGAAAATGGGGACGAAATTAGACTGATAATGAAAAACAGGCAGGGTTTCCTCCGCACTTTACAAAATTTATAATAGTCGCACAGGAACTGATTTTCAAGGGATCATTTCTCCTGTCCTTGTAAAAAAAAGGAAAATCATTTCTCCTGTCCTTGTAAAAAAAAAGAAGAAAAAATAAACAATTTTCTAAGGCAGGGCTGTCAAACATACGGCCCGCAGGCCAAAACTGGCTCACTTTGGATTTCAATCCGACCTGCTAAATGAATTTTAGAACCTGCTTGATGAATTTTGAAAATAAAATAACACACAATCACTTCATGTTCAGGAAATGTTTTGTAAAAATATATTTCACTAAATATGGAGATTTATCTAATGTACTTTTTTGCATGATTTCTGCAATTTTTAAGGGATTTATTTTATGATTGTACTAGTTCCAGCCTCTAATTAGGTTTCATTTGGCCCCTGAACCAAAATGGCTTTGACAACCCTGGTCTAAGGGATTGAAATTCTACCATCAATTTAACATGATATGGAAAGAATTATTGTACTTCCAGACGAGGTGGCAGCGGCGCCACCTCCAGACTGTGTCAATATTGGTTTCTGGAAGGTTAGGAGTCTAAGAAAAGCATACTGCAGCGCAAACTTCTTTAAGGTTCTCTGTGATTTTAGTGAGAAATGTCATGTCAAACTCCAAAGACGAAGAGTAGTTTCAACCTAGGTTTTATGAAATAGAAAATACAGAGAAGTTGGGAAAAATATTCTCCACAAATAAAATGCAACTCTGCAGTCAACACATCTGTATGAGGTGATTAGAAATAGAAAAAAAACCTGTGACTTTTGTCAAAATCTCACAGGATCTTATTAAACTTTTAGAAAAGTGAAGAGGGAATTTTTGGGGGGAGGGAAGGGGAGAGGTGCTACATTGTTGACAGCAGAGCGAAAAACAATCCAGAAACAAGAGATAAACATCAATCTGTGATCTCATCAGAGCTGGTAATGTCAGACCAGTGAGGTGTATAATGGCCCTGGTCCAAAGATAATGACTGAGCAGCTGTGGAATAAGATACAGTGGGAATCGAGAGTGATTCTGACCGACGTGAGCTAATTTATAAGAAAAAAAAAAAAAAAGCCCACGAATCCACGCAGACGGAGCAACACGAACATGAAGCCGCTTTCTGTGGTTTTTCTTTTTCCACCTCTCCGTTTCTCTCATTCTAATGCAGAGGGTGAGTCTTTTCCTGCCTCTGGCTGACAGAGCAAGTGACAGGATCATCAGACAGGACCGAGGTCCAAGGTTAGCCCTGACACAACCACAGTGCAAAGGCAATGTTCTTTGATAAAACCTGCTGTTGCACCATGCATCATGATCCACTGAGGTTGATATTACGTTTTTTTCTTTTTTAAAAAAAAGTGAGGATCCAAACCCAATCTGGAGTCCTGTAATACACGGAAACAGACCAAAGATATCAGCTTAGCTAATTAACACACAGCTCCCAGACTCTGTGAAATATCACCGAGCTTTGTGTGACTGCACTCGCTGCATACATTAACTTACGGGGCGCAGCAGGCCAGTGTGTCGCACTAATCATCACCAGTCAGGTGGAATTAAAATTAGTACGACACAATCAAAGCATCTTGTCACTGCACACGAAACAAAACATAAAAAAAAAACCCTAAAAGCACCCAGACGTGAAATATTCTTTCTTGTTCTAAAACGATATTTCAGACTATCAAAAAAAAAAGGTGAGAGTGAAACTAAATAAAACATCTTTTTTTTTTCCCCTTTCCTGTGATTCTCTAATTGTTGCTGCCGAGCCAAAACGTTGAGAACATGACAGAGGTGAAGTGATCACAACTACAGTAGTTTTTAATAATCCAGCAAACACGCTTAAAAAAAGATAATAATGGATCAATGGAAACACAAAGTATTTCATGGAGTTAAAGCCAATGCAGTAATATACTCATATATTCAAGTATATTGTGGCCAACAGAAGGCTGGTAAGAATACAGTGGGAAAAATCACTTTCAAAAAGAAGTGCTCCTTTATCAGGAAATATATGGCTATATGCAGATTCATACTGTTTGCTCGGCCACACCCGACTAATAACCGCTATTAAGGTATTTTCACACTCGGAATCAGAATACAACACGTAGAGCACGATATTCCCTTAAACCGGTGTTTTTCAACCTGGGGGTCACAACCCCACGTGGGGTCACCTGGAATTCAAATGGGGTCACCTGAAATGTCTAATAATTGATACAAAAAACAAAAATCAATGATAGAAATATTTTTTTTAACTCATTATATTTTGAAAATTTTTGATGTAAAAATGGGTTCACGAGCCAAAAAAAAGAGATTACGAACGATTGCTTTGAACAAATTGACTCGACTGCTAAGAAAACAACTTGAGTCAGAGGCTACATTCACCCTGGAACAAAGAGACTGATTAGAACCGATGCCGTTTTATGTAATGTAAACAACGTAAGCTAACAATAAGTGGGTCAGGCTAGGTCGCCTGATAAAAATATATTTTTCCACTCATTATTATTCTTTTTGAATATTCTTAACATCTCCTCTGTCGAGTGTGTGAAACCCAACAATTTTCTTCGCCAGAAATTTGTCATGTCAAAATGTTGTCACAACGGCGTTAGGAGCTGAGAGATTTAGGGATGGATGAAAGAATGCCCTCACCATCTATCCTGCTGACCAGCTCCTCCAGGGCCTTGACTTTCTTCTGGATCCCTGGTTGGGCAAACGTGTAGTTGTCCTAGAGAGGATGAAACAGAGAAGTTAGTGGGAAAAACAAAAAAAAATGCAGTCATTTGGACAGAAATCAGAGCAAAACAATGTCAAGCGTCAAAGATCTCATCATCTTTTGTCATGTGACGAAACCATAACATGACAAACACGATGATTTTAACTGCGTCTCTCAGTAGAATAAATGTGCTGTTGATGAAAACAGTAGATAATAAAGACACAGTGTGTTAGTTGAACTGGCAGAATACAATACCTGTAAAAACAGCACATAAGCATTTTGTCTATGTGTGTGTGTTTGTGTGTGTTCCCGTGTGTGTACACACACACACACACACACAGGTACACACTCAGGATTAAGTTTCCTTGAGGGGTCATTTCAGTGTGGCTGGAGAACAGCTGATGTGGCTAAACTGGCCAACAGATGGAGAGAGTGAGAGAGGGGAATGGAAGGATGGAGAGAAAAACGAGGAGACGAGAAAAAAAGAGAGAGAGAGAGCGGGAGAGAGAGGGTCATTTAGCAATAAACAGCTACAGTTGTCCTTCAGGCTCCACAGAACCACGGCCCACGTGTCCTCCTCCTGAGTCCATCGGAGGCCGGCAGTGGAGGAAATTACCATTTTACCTGCTCGTACTGAAACGCTGCTTCTCTCTACTCCACGTTATTCTCCTCAGATCTTTGCTGTTCACAGCCATATGATTCTTTATCACTACATTTAGTTATTTATTTTAGAAGGCCCCCTTTCCTGTGTACGGTATCCGACTGAAACGCTGCTTCTCTCTACTCCACATCATTCTGCTCAGATCTTTGCTGTTCACAGCCTTATGATTCTTTATCACTTCATTTAGTTATTTATTTTACAAGGCCCCCTTTCCTGTGTACGCTATCCTAGGGCTTCTCTTCCTCGGTCTCATTTCACCATCTGAGCGCTAATACGTTGAGGTAATTAGCAAACGTGGCGGCCAGGACGAGTAATTACATTTGCATTATTGAAGCCGCTGTCTTTAATCAACTGCTCTGCGCATCTCTTTGTAGGGACTCCTTCAAAAAGCAAGAATGTTTGTTCCAGATTTCTCATCAACATTCATGGTCAACATTCAAACGGTGGGGGATAGGGGGCAGTGTTTCTGTGTTTTTGTGACTATAACCATTGAGAGGAAGAAAACAACCACAAGAGGTAGCGGTGAGATTCTGTTTAAAAAAAAAAAAAGGCAGCCCCAAGAGGTTAAGTATGAGAACTGCAATCCCAAAAAAAATAAAAAAAGGTCTCACACGTTCACAGTACACAGCGTCTGTACACTGACTCGTATAAATGTAATCTATGTTGCTGTGGTTACCCCACTAAGTGGGTCATAGGGTAACATTTCCTTAGGCAGACAAACAGGAAGCAGCAGGTTACAGTTACATATACGTAGCTAGGAGCTAATTTAATAGGAGCGCTTCAAGCAGGATGTATTATCGTCTCTAAGGCGTCAAAAACAGAGGGAAAAACAAACTAATGTTTGGAAACGATCCGGAGAGAGGAGAGCCTGAGGTTCTGATTTTTAAAAAAAAATCAAAATACTGTATATGTATATATATATATATATATATATATATAATGCCAACACATTTTATCTGCAGCAGCAAAAGTCACAGCGGCAAATATTTATCACATGAAACTCATCTCTGCCTTTGGGCTGTCGACACAAAACTTCAATGCAGACTCTCACTTGGCTTCTTTACACAGTAAACAAGACTTCAATGAGGAATTTGGGTTGAGATTTTTCAGTGATTTGCGACTCCTTGATGAAATTTTATGTTTACATTAAAAATGTACAATAAGTACAATATCCACACAACGGGTGTTTTCGCTCGACTGTAATGTTTTGGTAGCCATTTGGAAACAACACAAATGAAAGAAAGCGAATGCAGCGCAAGCCAATGTAGGGCGTACAACCGACAAACATAAACAAAGTCGTCGTCTGCATATAGCATGACAACGTATTCGTCCACTAACTTGTTGAATGATGGAACAAGGCCTTTCTAATAAATTTATGGGAGAAGCAGCGTAACCATGAAAAGCCGTAGGTCCAGCATGTTGTAAACCGATGAACCCTGGACAACTTTCCTCATGACTTACGGTGCAAGAATCCCAAAAATATTCTTCTTCTTAATAACAGCAAAGTCTCCGACCTTTTTGGATTGGTCATAAACATTTCCTTTCTTTTAAATTATTCTCTACTGCTTGTGAACGAATGCTAGCTCCTTTTTTTTTAGCACAAACTTTCTCTTTGTCCCTCAGCCTCTTTCTTGTAACTCGATGTTACCCTAGTTTTTCATACAGGAAGTAAACTATTAATTTGCTTGGAATATTTTCCAAAATCTTGGGTTTTTTACCTTTTGCTACTTTTATATAAATCTCTGGCATCATTTCTGTCATTAATCCTGAGCTATTTTCCCCGTCTCATCTTCTGTTCTCGATTTCTTTGTCTTTTCTCATCAGTCTGTTGGTGTTAATAGGACCAGACTAGACTCCTGTGCTGCTATGTTGCACCGTCTTTGTTCTGTTTTCCCTGGCGTTTCCTACATTGATGCCGCGCTGAATATAAATGTGTGACTACTGTTTGGAGGGAGAAAAAAAAAATCTGCTTTTGAATCTGTTATAAGTATTTAAATTCAAGTATTTAAATATTATTGAACTCTTTACCCGTGTCAACTGCTTCACCTCATTTTCTCCTGTTCTCTTTGTTCTCCTTTGCCATCCATCTCCCTTCCTCCCTTCCCCTCACCCTCGGCTCCTTTATTCTTATGTCCCATTTTCTGTGTTAGGATTTATTTTTTTATTTTTTTTGGGCTGTTCCTTTTCAACTTACTTCCTCTCAGTGTCAAATCCAATATATTGGATCTTTGATCAACTGAGGCAACGGGAGGAAATCAACGCTCCCTCCATTATTCATGCATTCTCCTCTTCTCCCACCATCTGTCCATCCACCAAACCTGACCCCTGCAAGTGGAACTTGCCCGTGAACGAACGGCGCGTGGAGCAACACAAACATAAAAATCGGTGTTTCTCTTCTAAGCCAGGTGTCAACAGCCGCTCGTTCTGTCCGTCTTTGTTCTCTCTTTCTCCCAGTCAGCTGAATCAATAGCTCCTCTTCACCCCTCGGTCTGTTCTATTAGAGACAACAATGGCTTCACACTGGACTAAGATTGCCTCCTTTTGAGCTACTGGATGTCCATCAGCACGCTGGAGAGAAGCAACACAGAAATGCTTTCGGGGGTTGGGGGGTGGGGGGGAGGTTGTGCAGGTGAAGGTGTGAAAGTTAGTGAGACATTAAGGACAGAGGAGAAGAAGAAAAAGTGAGGAGATGACAGGCTGAGATAAAGGTACACAATAACGGTTAGAGTGATGTAGAGAAGACTGAAGGACAGGCCAATATTCTGTCAGTCTGGGTCTGAGCCGTGTTTGTAATTCTGTGGGTGAGAGAGGGAGACGGAGATGACAGGCTGTGAGCTGTGAGCTCGCAAAGGTGGAGGAAATTATTGATGTTCACAGGAACAGGGAGATGGGAACGATTTCATCCCGTTGCTTTGACTTTGTTAAAAGACCTTCGACCTGTGTGTCGGCTACAGTTTGGCACTTTTTTCTTTTGACAATTCTGGTGCATTACCCATTCTTATCTAACATAGGCAGGCAAATCTTCCTTCTTACCCAAGCAGTTCTTCTGTTTCTTTTTCTACATCAATGTATCTTCTCTGAGATCTTCCTTTATTCCCCCCTCCCTCCCCGGCAGCAACATCTTCAACAAACAACTTTGCGTTGCGCTTTCTTTCATTCTTCTCCTCTCTGGAGCAAACCCCAACTTCTCTAGGTTTTCTTCCACCTTTACTCTACTGTTGCAGCAGATTACAACATCATCTACAAACATCATGATGAGATCAGACTCCTGTCTGAACTCATATGTCAACTTTTTTTTAATACAATACAAACAAACAAGATTCTCAGAGCTGATGACCTTGAACCCATCCGTCACACTGACTGCACCCTTGCCTACAATCCCAATGGCCGTACACATGGCCTGCACCACCCTCACATACTTTTCTGCCACTTTCTGGACAATCTGACACAGCATCACACCTGCTCTCTATAATTAGCCCCTCATGGGATTTCTCATTCCCCCCTTACTTGTGCAAAAACAGACAGCATCACACCTGCTCTCTATAATTACCCCCTCATGGGATTTGTCATTCCCCCCTTACTTCAGCACAAATAATCAGCACAAGAGCAACGCAATACTAACGGAATAGAAAATATCACAAATGCATTATCACTTACTCAAGTACTTACTTATTAGCTGTATTTTATACAGGGCGCTGCCTTGCCGTGTGTGATCCCCGATGTGATCGACACCATTTGTTTCTCTGCTAACAAGGTTTACATCCTGCATAATAGTGTACACACATCACAGAGACGTCTCGGGGGAATCTATCATCGTCATTATCATAATAACAAAATCAATATAATTTAAATATAAGTTAATAATACGTGTGCCGTCGCGCAGCCTGACATTTCGGCAGCTTTGAAAGCCATTTTACGGGACCTGCGTGTCAGCTCACTTATCTAACCCTAGGTCACCAAACACATTAAAGAGAGAAAATGTGGACGTGCAAATTATATATGGCCAATTTACATAGAGGGAGGTGTGTGACTGACTCTAAGTTGTTTCCCAACAGCAATTACAGTTAGAGGCGCACTAATAAGGCTGGAATAACAAGCAATACAAACACAAATACAAACATGCTGTCAGGCCTCACACTTCAGCAGACAGACCAGCTGGCACATCTTCCTCCTCACTGTGTACGCCTGTGTTTGTGTGGGTCGGTGGGTGGGTGAGTTGGTGGTCGATTGAGTGACAGCCCAAGGTGACGGCAGAGGACCCGTGGGGAAACCAGAACAGGACATGGCGTCTGGTTTGGTCTGGCTACCGTCTGCTAGACGTCGGTCCTCGGACCCTTGTTTCCACTCAAGG